TTTTTTTTTTTCTTTCAGCCTTGATCATCTTTTGATTGTAGATCCTGATTTGTCACTTCCTCGCTACATGTGGGGGAGGTCTCACATTTATTCTTACCTTAATGCCACATATCCTGTCCTTGTTGCCTTTGTGCCCTCCTTCAGCATCCTGCAGTCAGAATTTACGTCGAGTGCAAGAGTTTTGTAATACTGATACAATAATATATTGTTCCCATTTTACACTCCTTACTCAATACTTTCAGGCTTTTTACTTTTGCCCAGTGGCCTGTGTGATAAAAAGCTGGGCTGCTGAAGAGGTGCGTGCTAAGAAGAGAAAGTTTGTCACAGGATGTTGTGTAAACTTTTGCTTAAAATGAGAGAGAAAACAGAATATGAAATTTCTGGTCTTGCATTAGTGAAATGCAAAAAATTAAAAACAAAGAGTAATGTTGGAAAATATATTTTGTTTCACTGATTAGAAATTAATCTCTAGTTTTGTGCTTCATGGTAACCACGTGTGAGTTCAGTGTAATTGTTCAAAGCAATGTCTCATGCATTTTTTCTTGCAGTAGGGGGTCTCAGAATCAGGTGTTTTAATACCTTCAAGGTGTTTAGGTTTTGTGGGTAGGGGTTTTTGGTTATTTTTTTAACTCTTACTCTCCCTTTTAAATAGTACTTCCTACCCTACAGTTTTTTGCTCTAACAGTGTTGACATTTTAATTTCGTATCATTTTTTCAGCTGTGAAGTGATCCGAGACTGGAAGACTGGTGAATCTCTTTGTTATGCTTTCATTGAGTTTGAAAAGGTATGGGTTTTAGGTATGAACTCTATGTAGATCCCCCTTGTAAAAGCCCCTTTTGGCATACTTCCATTTAGGAAAAACACTGACATCTTCAAGTGTGGAATAGCTAATATTTTCTCTTACTGAGAGAAACTATAACTTAGTTATAGAAGTTGTAGGTCCTAAATGAGGCAAGCATGTAAGTCTGTCTCTGTTTGAGCAGCCAGTACAAAAATATACTTAGACTGTGTTGAAACCAGTGTGGGGGGATCGGGCCCTTTTTTCCCCTGAGTGCATTAAATCTTCAAAGAGTTGAAGAAAGGAATGCTAGGAGCATGCAGCATGAAGAAAGGATGGTGTATGGAATAAGATGGATCCATGTATGCAGTAGTTTTTTCTTCTGGGCTTGTAAATGATGCCTGCTGTATCAACGCTGCTAGTCTTACTGTGAGATGGATGGCAATAGTTCTCTTGGTGGTGCATAGCTTTATGTGTGCTGGTATCTTTCATCTGTGAGGATAACACTGGAAAGTCTTCTCACTTTTATTTAGCCTACTTACATAGTTAAAATGGAACTTTATCAGTTCTAGTTTTTTTTTTCTGAATGTGTTACATGTGCCAGACGTGTGGCTGGATTAGCAAATTTTTTAAATAGTGAAATGAACTGAAGAATTGGGAATTGAAATGCTGATATTCAGGCAAAGCATAACTATTTATTTTGAAATGGTACAATTTAAGAACTGTGGTGTTTAAGCAATTTCAGAAAGAATTGTATGCCACTAAGCAGTTGAATTTGTGTTTGAGCTTTTCTGTGAATATTCCTGTGAAATAATCATGACTCAAGATTTTTCCTGGTTAATATCAGGAGGAAGACTGTGAGAAAGCCTACTTCAAGATGGACAATGTGCTGATAGATGACAGACGGATACATGTGGATTTTAGCCAATCTGTTGCAAAGATTAAATGGAAGGGAAAAGGTAAGTATATTTGCAATTCTTCAATCCTCATAACTTAATAAACTGTGACTTCTAAACTAAGTATTATATAAAGAGTTAGGAGTTTAAATCATCTCATCTTCAGGCATATAGATGTTCCTGGTACTGGAATAAATAGAGCAAACACAGTTGTTAGTTCTTCCCTTCATTTGTTTCATAAGAAAAAGTAGAAGGGTTTCCTACTGTTAAATGAACATTGCATTGCCGCTGATTAACATTTTAGTCAATGTAATTTTGCCACTAAAACATTTTTTTCATCTCAAACTTTGGACATTATTTTTTCTTATATATTACTTACTAGCAAAATAATATGCCAATATATTGTTATTTTCTAGTTTCCTTATTCACTGTATGCCAGTCAGGTGTATACAAGAAAAGGTCAGTATTCAGGCCAGGGATTTCTGCTCTTCATCTCCTGTAGGTCAAACATACTGCATGGCAGACTGTATGTTACAAAAACCCGGTTTCAGATGTTTGAGGATGTTTTGGGAGGAAAAGGGTGGTGGAAGAGGTGGATGCAGTGGTTATTTGAATACTGTGGCATGAGCAAAACACTGGATTTGGAGAGGTGTCTGTGCATTGCATTGGTGACGTTCTTGTGTGTGGTCTTCTAAAGATGCAGTCAGCCCTCAGTTGTTGGCGTGCAGTTTCTCCGGTAGGGTTGTGGCCATGAACACTGAGATACTGGGACTTGTTCTGCACAGAGCTGAGATGACTCTGTATTCTATCTATACTAGGTGCTCTGGTGCATCCTGTATTGACTGCCTACTTGGGAAACTTTATCTGAGGTTTAAATTGTCCAAACTATTGGAAAGCTAACTATATTGTCGTTTTGTGCTTATATGGTACCCAAAAAATGACCTTTCCTCCTCGGTGATGTTTCCTGGCCCGTGAGTGTTGCAGTTCTAAGCGTGGCCGTGAGAGGGCAGGACGTTGCTGTAGTCCGTTGATCCCTGCATTGGTGCTTCAGGGAGTGGGACTGAAATCCATCGTGTCCCTCTTTAAATCCAGACTAGAACATTTTTTGTCATAGTCTTCCGTTTGAATTCTTGAGCTGTAGCTGTCTCAGAGGTTTCCCTCAGTGCGTACGAGAGCAAAAAGTCATTTAATAATGAGAACAGTCTGTGGGCTTTCATGGTAACAGAATTTTAAGTAGTGTGATATAGGACCTCTAATAGAAATGAGACTAAGCTAGCTGCTGAATCCTACTTTGTGATCCTCTTTATGTGTTGTCTCCATTGGACATGAATGAGCAGAAAGCTGGGTATTGTTTAAAGGAATTTGCAAGCAAGAGAAGGACAGAACATCACAACTTGTACTGCTCTCTTCTACTCTGTTATGCAGATATCAGAACTTCTGGAACTGTATCCTGCTCTGGAGCTCTCTATGGTTATAAAGAGCCCCTAAATCATCACCAGAACTTAATGATGGTTGCGGGTCTTGGTTGTGTTTGTGGTTAGAGTGAAATTAACATCTTTTTTTGTGGACAGGTGGGCGGTATACCAAGGAAGATTTCAAGGACTATGAGAAGGAACGTGACAAACCTTCAAAATTTGCTCTGAAAGAAAAGGTCAAACCAAAGCAAGAGTATCCTTTTGTTTTCAAAGGTACTTTTTGAATTAAGTAGAATTTATGAAAACAACCTGGAAAAAAACTTATTTTTAAAGCCTGTCAATTGGATGTTTGCCTTCTAGCTCATGTAACCATTTGGTATTTGAGATGGAATTTAATATTTTGTGGTTTTCACTTTGATCAATTTAGTCAAATCAAAATGTGCTGTTTCACTTCCATGTTGTGTGCAGGTAAATAATGTCCCTGGAATGACATATGACATAACAGAGTTCTTAAGTAGTTTCAGAGGGGACCTTCTGCATCCAAAATGAGACCTCTCTAGTAATTAAATAATACTCTAAGATTATACTTTGCTTGTGGTAAGCATGAGAGAAAACACCATAGCTTGTTCAGATATCCACAGGTAGAAAGGAGAGGAGAATGCAGCCTGGCTGTATTGTTCGACAGGACAGACTTCAGTCATTTTAGCACAGCTGATTTTTTTTTTTCCAATGTGTACAACTGTGTTCTAACTGAAATAAGTTTTAAGTCCTGGTAAACTCTTGTCAGATAAACAGAGATTGGTTTGGTTCCTGGGCTGTTCTGCTCTTTATTGATATTGGGAAACAGATCTGTCCTTAACCAGCACCATCAGTGCCAAGTATGACCTTGTGCTGGATGAGGATGTAGAAGAGTCTCACACAAGTCAGTCGCACTTGGCTAAAAAACAGAAGAAGAAAAAGCACCACCACTCCGAAGATGAGGATGATGACAAGAGGACCAAAAAATCTAAGGTACTTGACTCTTCATGCATTAACTTTATATCTGTTCATTGTTTTCCTCACAGAAGAAGCCAGGAAAAAAGTGTGAAATTGAATAAGGACATGGCCGTGCAAAGTCCTGTGTAACATACAGCAGTTGTAAACCTACAGAAGGCTGATGTTAATATTTGATTATGAAAGAGGGCTTCCTCATGGACTTCTGAAGCTTGGCGTGTCTAGATGGTTTTTTGCCAAAACATCCTGAAGAGGCAATGTAGCCTCTCATAAAGTAGGGGATCTTCAGCACTTTGAACCTGCTGTTCACATATTCCTAGCCATAAAGTAGTAGGTAATCATATTTCATGACTGTAGACTAGGTCTCATTTTCTTGCCCAACCATCATACATTGGGTTTTTCCTACATGGAGTTGGGAACACAATCTCTCCACATTATCTTTTTGTATTTGTTCTTAACTGTTTTGGAAGTGTTTGTGTAAAATCTGCACGTGGGTTTGCTTGCATCTAGAATGTGTAAGCCTATGTGCTGTGAGGCTGGGGCTGTGGAGGACAGCACCAGGAGACAGTAATTCTGTCATTCATTAGTTCCACTGCAGCCTGTTAGGACAGCACTCCCACATTTCTGTGAACTTGGGATATTGAAGACACAGTGTTTTGTGGAAACAAAGTCTGCAGTGAGAAATGGAGGGTTAACCACCACTGAAGTGAGTGTTAGGAAGAATTGAGCTAAGCTGGAAAAGAAAAAAAAACAAACCCTAGTATTTTGACAGTACCAGTTTTATGAGTGAGAACAAAGCTGTCTTCTAGCAATTTTGCAGAAAGTGAAAAAGTTTCAGTCACAGCAAATAGGGCTATTGTCCCATCCTGAGTTTTCAGTACTGCTGAAAGTTTTGGGAACACAAAGCTTACATGATTCCATTCTTATAGATCACTTCTTGCTGTGATGCTTGAAAATTATTTATCTCATGAACACCAGCAATTAAAATCTTTCAGTGCCAGCAGTGAGCCCTATTGCTCATTCATGGACCCGGTTTTTTTTTTACTTTACCAATTCAGTCAGTGGAATTCAGTGAGTGGAGGGGAGGGGTTTGTTCAGGTAAGTAAAGCCCTGACTGCAGCGTGTGCATAGAAGAGGTGTGGGCTAATGTTGGTTTAGACTTTTTCCTGTCTGGCCGATAGAAACTGTTGCTTTAGACTCCTTGAAGAAGTATGGAAAGGTATTTTTGGTGACAGTCTTCGTTCCTGATGGTTCAGAAATTACACCCATGGAACTGGCTGGTCATGCATAGCAGAGAACATTTTAAAATCACTTAGAAGTCTTCACCCCTGCAGGTGGCACAAGTGCTGGCAGCAGAAGGTTTTTAACATCTGTTCTAATAATTGCAAATGGATTGTGGGATTTCATAGCACACAAGCATGAATGAGAACAGAGGGATTCCTGGTGCTGTTTTCAGGTTCTGGAATAGAACATATTCTAATATTTGTCTGTGTGATCTCCTCTGTGTTTATATGTATCTTTTTTGTGATTTAGTCACCTGCTCCTGATGTGGTTTGTTCTTATAGTCTGCTGCTGCTGTGTTCTGATATCTTCTTCCCCACAGCTTTCTTCTCTCTTAGTCACCTTTACTCATTTTGCTGTAAGTAGTTTAGCTTTCTTATGCCCGAAATTACAGATGGAGGCTTACTTCTATTCTCTGATGGCAAGCATCATAGTTCCCCCTTGGAGCTGTGCAAATTAATTTCTGGGAAGATTTTTTCTTTCTGGATTTGAATATCCTCATTAGTGTGTACTGTACAGTGGGCATATACTGAGCAGTATGTACTCAGTCTCACACAGACTCATTATTTTGGGCATCACCTCTCTAGTGAAATCTGCAGCTAGCTTAGGTGACAAATCCTGTTTAGCATATACAAAATTTTGCTTTATTTTTTTACTATTCATACTTTTGGCATACTATGTGAAACTAAGGGGAAGTAGGCATGTTCCTGAGGTGGAATATATTCAGTGGGAATATTGAGTCCAACACAAAGCATAACAGCATGAAAACTTTGTAGTGAATGGTAGCATTTTTAGTACAGGCAAACAAAGCATTCTGCCTTTACCCTATTTTGTAAATCTCTGAATGTATTTGAGGTAAGAACAAGAAAACAAAACAACAGCAGACCTTCTACAACTCATCAGCCAAAGACCACAGCAGCCATGCTTCATACAGAAACTTCCACCATGAGTCCATAGTGTGGCAGAGATTTTAATTAAGAGAGATATGGGGCTTATAATGGGAAGTTCTGGCAACTCGAGCTGCAGTTGGTGCTATCAACTCTAGCTATGACTTGAAGGAGTTTTATTTTCTCAATAGTTTCCATGATGTTGAGTTGTTTTTCTGTTCTCTTGCTGGTGTTACTTTTTTCTTCAGTATATTTTGAGTCATCCTTTTCTTAGTCTGACACCCACTTCCTGAATCTTCAGCTTCTGTGTTGATGTTTCAAGAATATATTTTTGAGTCTTGTGCTGTTTGACTTCATTCCAGTGGGTAGAAGAGGTAGGATGCTGTGACTCGCTTTTAGTAAGTAACAGGATGTGGGTCTGGGGCAGAAGGGTGGACTGCCATGTGGTCTTGTGAATAGGATTTGCTGAGTTTCTTTGAATACAGGACATGCTTCCACCTGAGATCTATATTATGACTTTGTTTGCCTTCCAGTTTTCTCTGTGTATTTTCACTTGGATTTTATTTTTTAAGAGAACTGAATCTGTGAAGTAGTACGGCTTGTCCAACAGACTTTTGTGAGACATAGGGACTTTCCAATTTCAGATTTCTGTAGTATGGTTTTGGCAGAGGTTCTGATTTTTCTGGTTTTGGTTTCCTGCTTTTACTGCTTATTGGACACTGTTCCCTTCATATTCAGGGCCACGTTTTATGAATTTCTCCCCATAGAAAAGTCTCTCTATATTTGTTTGCTCCTTTTAACCTTTAACTACTGTATTTAATGTATGTAAGAGGTGGCATGTGTATTTTACTTCCGTGGCCTTGATATTTCTAGCTATTTCACCTGTGACTGCTGTTTAGCAAGTTCCTACTTTTGGCAAAATCGGCCATGAACTTCCAGAGAAGCATCTTTCCTTATTTCCTTCCTTGTGTGTTCCAACACAATGCTGGATTAAGAATTGGGGTGATCATCACTTACTTATTGACCAATGAGAGGCTGTGATCGTAAATTTGAGAAATCCAGATTTCAGCAGTAAGAGAGACCCTGTTTTAAAGTATGAATTTTTTTCTTCTTCTTCCAAAACAGTGTGGTTTTTTTACTTTTGAGCATAAAAATTTGGTTTCAAAATACCATTATTTTTAGTAATTTAGTGTGTTTTTAAAATAGACCATTTTCCATGCCAAAGACTTTAAAATGAAAAATCTTATTAAAGGGGAAATGTAACTTATGCTGGTAAGAAATAAAGATGCAATTCATTATATTAATTTAAATTACAGTTTTCTTCCTTTACATTGTGATCATATTAGCAAATGTGGTGACTTAGTTGTGTCACTTTCAGATTTGTCCTGTACACCTGTACCTTAAATGCTTTTGTGAAGGTTACTGTTGTCATTTAACACAATGCTTGTATGAGTTCTAATCCTTTCAGCAAGTTGTCCATTTCTGAGGTATTCAACATGGCCTATTTGTCTGTAGTTTGAAATGTTCACTAAGCTGTTCCCTGCCCCCACTTGACCAGTAGCCTTGTCTCCAGTGTTTACTTGGTAGATTGTTCAACTGAGTGTTGCCCTGCTTTTCTCCTGTTTCTTCATGGGAGGAAGCTCCAGCAGCAAACCAGTTAGAAGGCAGCCATACACCAAGCTCTCCATTTGGTTTTCTGGCCAATATTTTTTGTCTTGTTCCTGTCTACCTCTCCACTAACATGTCCATTGTCTGATATTTACTTAGGCCTTGTCACATAGGGGCTTGAAACCTATTGGCTTTTTCAGACATACGGAGAGTGATGCTTTTGGGTACCAGACTAGTAATATGGCTGTGCATCATTTTGAGAATGGATGGACAAATCTCTTACAAGTAGCTGGAAGCATCACTGAGACTTTTTGGTGGATCCAGATTTTAAAATCTGTACTGAAATAAAGTCTGTCAGTAAAGATGTGGAATAGGCATTTGGCCACCAGTGAGATTACTGTAACCCAGCAGTAGCAGAATGTTTTTGTTATAGATCAAACCTGTGATTATTCATGTGTCTGTTTATCCAGAGGGTTTGTGTTGCTTATTGTAACCCTAATACTTTCAGCATTATCAATGTAATTCTAAAGGTGGTGTTTGCTCTGGGAACCACCCCAGTCACTGGCTTTCTGCATAAAATCTCTGTTCACTGTTTTTCACTGTTCTTCCAAATAAATGAAGTTTGCTTGTTAGTACATGGAGTATAGGTTTTGACCATACAGTTGTGAAGGCTGCTGTCATGGTACATCCTTAGAAAAATAATATCTGAAATGAGGAAAGAAATACTGTGTGATTCAATGCAGGCATACTTCTTAAGTCATATTGATCTATGCTTAACACTGTTGTTTCAAAAACCCCATAAAATTGTATCTCTCTGTTAGCACATACAGTGATATTAAACTGTTAGGTTGTACATTTTGTTGAAGCCTAGAATTTAGACCATTAAGAATTATTACAGGTAGGCCTTAAAATACAGTATGCATCTGCATAGTACTGGAATGCCTTATAGGGCTTAAACCAAAAGTTATGGAAATATTTGCATTGCTGAGGTAAAAAAATGTGAAATCCAAATGTAGCTTACAGACCTGTTTGATGCTCGTGAAGAGTTTGATAATACCCACCTGAATGGAATCCCTGATAGAACCAATTTTTGCTACAGCTCCTTAGGCAGTACAAGAAACATGCCTGACAGCCATTCTTTTTTCCGTAAACACCAACAGAAACTTACTTGTAAACTTACCTTCTTCAGATAGTTTCAGTAGGGTATTTTTATGTTAGCATTTCAAATCATTGTGGATGTGAATGTCTTTAAGGTCATACCAGCTGTAGCTAAGGAACCAGCCATGCTCAACTTGTCTCTAGTTCTCTTTGTGCCTCTGTGTGTTCTCCCCTCTTGTTTGTAACTGCATTTCTGTCCAATTCCTTTGCCAGGATTCTGACCGGAAGCACGAAGAGCGCTGCAGGGAGAGGAGCAAGAGTGAGAAGAAAGACAGGCATCGGAGCCGCAGCCGCTCTCAGGAGAGAGATTACACTTCCAGCAGGCAAAAAGACAAATACAGAGAAGACAGCCGAGTAAGAGACTGGGATAAAAAAGCAGACAGAAGCAGAAGTCCTAAGAAATCAAAAGACAAAGAGAGATCCAAATACAGATGAAAGACAAGGAAAATACAGAGGGGCACTAAAATAATAAATTTAATTTTTTTCTTTTGTGATAGTGTTTTTTCTATAATACTTACTGTAGTGTCTGACTGCAGTATGCAGTAAGATATTACAGCTTGAGATACCCTTTATTGGAACATGGTCTGCTAATTCTGAAATTCAAGATGAATTGCTGCAAATTGCTCTGCCCTGGAGTGCTTGTGCCTGGATAGAGTATTTCAATGGAATATGAAGAAAAATAACTTCTTACTGATTCTATGGGAAGGCAGACATTTAAGGAACATAATCACTGAAACTATCCCGTGGCAGAAAATTCTGACTAGGCAGGCCTAGCGATAGCTGTAATCTCCGGACCTAAGCTGAGCAGGGATACTGAAGGTATATAATACAGAAATGTACTTTTCAGCAGTGTCTGCCCTGTCTTTGTTTTGTTAAAAACAAAGCTGGAGTCTAACATCTTTGGCGCTTGTGGTAATTAGAAAACAGAACAAAAAAACCCCACCTTCCTGTAATGCTGAAAATAACATAGAAAATGCTGTTGCAGAAGCATTGGTTTCTTCACTTTGACATAGCTGAGGCCTGTTTGAAGGGGAATGCCTCATGCTTTGAGGCTCTTTGTTCCTTCCTTAGTTAGAAACCAGCTTAGAAACCAGCTCCTCAGAATTTTCTGTTGGATTCCTTTACTTGCAACAGCTTAAAAGTGTGATGTAGACTCTAAATTGTTTTATTCTATGGATTTGAGTAAGTTTGAGACCTATTTTGATGTCACACATTATAGTTCCTTTAGTTCTTTGTAGTCTTGAGCTTGAGTCCAAGATTTAAAGTGAGCTTGACCAAATACAGGAAATGTACTTGCCTAAGAAGCTGCCTTTTGATGGATCTCTTACTTTTGTGTTCTTCAAAGCATAGAACCAGAAATCTTTTGTGGTCTTCAACGCATGAAACTAGGGCTTTCACAGCTGTCTCCTGTCAAAAAATTTCTTGCTGCCTGAGACCCTACAGAGGCTGGGGCCATTCTTGCAGAGTCTGAGTGAGAGCCCTCTGTCCCAGAGGAGAGGTAAACAGGAAACCTGTTCCTGGAAGTCTCCTGGGGAATCTGGGGCTGAGGACTGCTCACTTTTCCTGTCAAGAAAATTTCTGCCTTCTGTCTGAGCATAAGAAGATTCCAAGGAACTGTATTAAGTCAGGTTATGGTGCCTTTGGAGTAGTGCTATAGAAGCAGTAGGTTGTCTCAAGCTCTTCCTGCTCTTGGCCTGCTCTGTTAAAGAAACAAGGATTGTGCTGTTGTCCTGTTCTCAGTCCTGCTGTCCTTCTCCACACAACATTTTTAACTTGGAAGAAGCACTGGACAGATTTGACAAGGGTGTGGAGATAGTGAGGCACTTGTATTCTTGCTTTCTTTAGGAAATGGCAGTCAGAGAAACAAACTAAAGCTTCCAGCTGAGGAGAATGCTGGATTCTTGCTGAACATCACAGGTCCTCTTGTTGGAGAATTGTGACTTAACATCTCAGAGTTTCAGCAGCCATTCCTAGGCTTCAGCTAGCCCTCAACCACCTGTGAGACATAAAAAACTTACCAATGTTTAGAAACAAACACCCTATTTCTGGTGAATGTGCTTGCTTTTCTGCAGCAGAAATGACTTTTCTTTGCAGCAGGTAAATGCTTAAGAGGTGAAAATTTAAATGAGTAGTATATGGGAGTAAATAGTCCATTTTCATTGTTGGGCAAAGAGTCTTCAGAATTAAGGGTTAAAAAGTCAGGACATCCAAAATGTTTCAAGTTTCTGATTTTCAATATGCCTTGGTGCTGTTAAAAATACACAGTATCTTCAGATTAGTGAAATTACCTGTTTATATTTTTTAAGAGGAAGCTTTGTAGGTGTTCAAAAATAAAGTGATATTAATAGGTGATTAAATGACAGTATAAAAGCTCCCAATTTGGGGGCAAGTACTTAATTTTAGGGCTGCATTTCTAGTCTGGTCTGCTGACACTGGAAGGATCGCAGTTCACCTGGCACATAGATGGCAGAGCACTTGGGTTAGATGGGATTTACTCCTCCTGTCATTGGAAATTATGGTTGTGTACATGTGGTTCTTCTGGAAATGGCACAAACTGAAACCACAGATATTTCCTGCTGTTCCTGTCCAGCCAGAGGTATTGGAGTGGACAAGAGTTTTTTTTTGCGAGTTCAAGAGTTGACTTGCTTTAGCCTAATGAGAAGTCATACTTTCCTCTCATTTCCTTTTTGTCAATACTATCTCCAAACTCAGTTTCACTATTGTCCTTTGGTGCTTATGGTAGTTGAAAAACAGAACCAAAAAATACAGCTTCTTCTATAATGTTGAAAATATAATTTTCAAGAAATGATATTTTCAACATTATAGGAAGTGTAGCAGAATCATCAACTTCTTCACTTTGACTTAGCTGATGCTTGTTTGAAGGGGAATACCTCATGCTTTTGGGCTCTTTGTTCAGTGGTTAAAGTCTTAAAAACCAGCTCCTCAAAGTTTTCTACTGGATTCCTTTACCTACAACAGCAAAAATGTGATGTCAACTCTAAACTGTTTCATTCTATGGATTTGAGTAAGTTTGTGACTATCTGGCTGTCATGTGTTGTAGTTTCTTTAGTTCTCGGTAGATCTCTTGAGTTTGAGTCTAAGACTTTGAGTGGATTTGGCCAAAACCGTGTTATGAATAGGACCTGGTGGCAGAGTACTAAAGGCAAGTGGGAGGAGGGTAGGTTGCAACAGATCTCTCTCTAATCCCATGGACATCACACAAGTCAGTGGAAGTAGCATAAATGTTGTATCCAAGTAGTTGGCATTGCAGGATGGGAGTTAACCCAAACCCAGTCGTGGTAACCCTGTATTCTCTGGAGATAAAGCTCTACCTGCTTGCTTCCACTTGTCAAAACCACATCCAACCCTAACAACCACACAAACAAACCAAACCAAATTCCCCCCCACTCCCCTCATCATCTATTAGTTATTTGGACAAACATTTTAAAATTTCCAAGAAGTTTAGAATAATTTCTGATTCTGTTGCTGCTGTTATCGTTGTCCATCTCACCCTCCTGTAGCCTGATTTTTATCATGTAAAACTTGGATTTGTTAGTGACAGGATTGCAGGTTTTGCTTGTAAGCTTTCTGGAGCATGGGTAATGTCTCTTCTGTCAGTCACCTGCTGCACACAGAAGATGTACAAGCAATTTGAAAAATGTTAAATTACAGTCAGATTTATGTAAATACTTGCTACAGGGCAGTAATTTTTTGTAAAATGCTTGGTCTGACCACTGATGGAATGTGCTTTTTCTCTGAACAAGCCAGTGTCACCTTGTTTAAATGTGGTAGCTGTGTTAAAAGGTACAAGCAAACTCTATGTTGGTTTAGGTCTTACGTGTTTACAATGAATCATTGATGCTGAAAGACAGTTCCAAGAGCCTTCTGAAATCTTAACCTGAACGGCAGTAAACTTTTGAACTTGAAACTTGTTTGGGACTTTCTGACTCTGTAAAAGGTACTTTTTTATTTGAAGCCCAGTGGAAAACAACTTGAGTCATAGCAGTATCTTGTTATATAAAAGGGGGAAAAATAGATATTTTAGGCCAACCAAGTAGGGATTCTGCTACATCAGACATTATGGATGGGGTTGCAATTTTCCAAGAATTTCCATTGTTTGCATGATTGAAATTGATTTTCTTATTATTTGTTCTTTCTGTTCTGTGATCAGATGCAGTGCTTGCTACAGTGGCATAGTTTTGGGGAGGTAGGAAAGGTGGTCATTTTGGCAAGCATGTAGAAATACCTCTTCTAAAGATAGTGGCTTTCTGCCAGTCTGAATACTGGATTGCCTGTCCGTAACTGAGCTGGTACTCTAGTAGGACCTGCTAAGTTAGTGATGTATGCTTTTGGGGTGAACTTCTGTCTCCAAGTCAAAATTTTCAGTGTCTCCAACAGGGAAAGAATTTCACTGGCAGAAATTCATCCAAATTTTGCCTAATAGTAAAAAACTGTAATTAAAATCAGGAGCATAGCTTATACTGTTGGGAGAGCTTGGCCTGAGGGTCTGACCTGAGCCTTCCTGAAGGGAGTAGGGGAATACTCTCACTTGAGTTAGGATGGAGAATGTATTAGTTCCACAACTATTAAAAATATTCCTGGCAATAGACCTACATTTGATTTAGCACTTGCTTTATTCTCACTGTGTTCTGCTGGTTAGGGACTAAAGAATTTTCACTGTGTTGCTATGGCCATGTGCTTGTTTGGCACACAGCAGGTGAATTTTTCAGATGAGGAAGAGAGTGATGATGCTTTTCTCTTGTGCTGATGCAATAGTGACTGTTTCCCTTAGCAAAGCAAATACCTCATGAGGTGTGTAGACCAAAACACCTGAGGTGTTCCAAGTTTCAAGAGATTGGTTTTTCCATGCAGGATCTAACACCATCAGGAAAGTGCTTTTGTACAAGGGCCTTCTTCAAAGTCGTGCTTGGTCATCTCTGTAGCCTCCAGGAGCTGCTGCAGCAAGGCTGCCTGACTTTGAGGTTGGCAGTGATTCTTTCTGGTGAGTGTCTAGTTGTTTCACAAACCAGTAAATCCTCAGTCCTCAGCACTGAAACATCCATTAGTGGGGCGATCTTCCCCTCTGAAAACTCCTACTGCAGCTGTTTCCTTCTTGAACACAACAGTGGCCTTGAGCAGCAATAAATCTGTGCTGGGAAAAACTCAGCATGTTTGTCAGCACAAGGGAGCACAGCAGAGAAAGGAAATGTCTATGAAACCACAGTCTTTGGTGCTCAAACATGAGTCTAGGCCCTCACAAAAGGGTGTGAAGCCATCGGAAAAGTTAAATATGCTCCTTTATTTCTCATGGTCTTCTCTGTGGTAGCTGGTGATCACCTAGGTAAACATTTCAGGAACTGGCTAAAGGTCTTCCTGGCTGCCTATGATTTGAGTGATGTTGAAGTCTTTTTTGCTCATGGCTTTTTACAGTAGATGGACATGGTCACTTCAATAGAAATGAGATTTATTTTATCTAATTGGCTTTTTATAGTCTCTGATTTGTTCCTATTTAGGTAGTAAAACCCCGATTTTACTGAGTAGGGGTTAAAACAACACCACACAATGTAGGTGCTTTCTTCTGTTGCTTGCTTGGGTTATAAATCATGCAGCAACTTTCTTTCCAGTAGTACTGCTACTTGGTGGTCTTGTGATGAGATGTGTGGCATTGTGAAAGCTTAAATGGAGCAGAGAAGATCCCTCCTCTCCAGGGATGTTTGGTTGGACTTGATCTCAAAGGTCTTTTCCATCCTGTGATTCTGAGTCCAAGGAGTGAGGAGTCAAAGGTTCTGCTCTCACAGGTGTTCTGGGCAGCAGGGAGCTGACACATTTCTTTAGTTGTGACCCTACAAACACTTCCCTGTTTCTGCAGCCTTAACCTGCCCAGCCCTTTGTGGCTTAGAGGAAGTATTGTGCCAGAGGTAGGATGGAGGAGGCTGTGTCCTGCCCCTTTATCCTGTCCCTGCCTGAGCACTGCTTTACACAGCAGCAAGGCATCCTGGTTCCCAAAGAGTTTCCAGGAGTCTTGGTGTGATGTAAAGGTGTAACCATCACTTGGAAAAAGTGAGGCTTGTAGCAACCAGCAAACACTCTGGGTTAAACAGGATACCACTACAAAGGGGTTGACCACCCTGCTTACTCCCACAAAGTATGCAGGTAGTATGATTTCTAACTGGAAAAGGTCAACCCTGCTCTGGTGTGTTGCCTTGTGACAAGTGGCAGAGGTTCTCTCCTTCCGCAGCACAGCACGCCAGTTGTCCCTCAGGGCAGAGGGCACTGCACATGCAAGAGATGTCTGAAGCATCCAAAAGGTCCCAGAGGTTGACTCTTCTTAGTCTCCAACCCTTCCTGCTGCCTAAAATTGGATTTGGTATGTATTTCTTTGCAGTGAGGTAAGGAAAAAGCAGAGGGAAACCTCAGGATTCCATGAAGTGCCTGTCAGACTTTGCTGTGGACAGGTTGAGCATCTCTGAAGCAGTCTTTCCAATTGAGGCACCAGCAGGCTAGAGGGGGTTGTTTGGATTTTGATGTTTCATTGTGGTGTAACATTTTGATGGTTCATTGTAGTGTCCCAGAGCAGGTTCCTTCAGACAGGGAAGTGTTTGAATGAGGCTTTGCAGTATCAGGTGCTAAGCAAAATGTTGATTTAAAAAGTACTTTTCCCACATTTCCCCGGAGGTCAGGAATTTGCTGGATGCATGGGAATGAGGCTGTGTTAATTTGGTACAGCAGCCCTGGTGGAAAACATTTCACTTGACCCAGAATTCATGTGCTATGTTCTCATTGCCCAGTGTTCTGCATCCCTGCTGGAGTGAGTTTGACTAATTTTTGCCTGTGATTCAGAACAGACGTGTGTCAGGAACCTCTTTTATTTTTTTTCCTTTTTAAATATGAAGTGAAAGTTTATCAGCCTATGGTTATACGAGACCATGGCCTGCCAAATGAGGAAGTAAAACCTTCCTATAAAATGAGTTCTGCCCACTGCACTTGCTTGCCTCAGTTGACATCAGCCCTACCTCTAAATACAAGCTGGTGACTTCCTTGTGAGCCTGGTACTGCTTTGAATCCAGCTTCTGGCTGGGGGATGGTGGGACAGCGCTGCTGGGCCACAGAGAGAACAGCTGCCAGGTAGGTACAGAGCAAGAGGGGCTACCTGTGGGCACAGCTCACTCCCTGGGGAGTTTGGCTTTATTATTTTTAGCAAATGGAGCAGGGAAGGTGGGGAAGAAAAAGGCAAATCTTTTCTTAGTCATCAAGACAACAAATGTCTGGTGTTGCTGTGAAGAGTTTATGAAGAGTTATGTGCATCTTCCATTTGTGAAAATAAGAATTCTTAGTTTTCTAAAGGTAGAGCAGCCCCACCACATGGCAGGGCTCAAATGGGCTGTCAGTCTTAGGTGGTTTGCAGTGTTATTGCCAGGGGTGAAGGAGGAAGAGGGGTGAAGTGATCCAGCCCTGAGGTGTGAGGAGCAACTCTGCGGTGGCAGGGAGCTGTAGCTGTGCTCCTTGTGCTGCTTGGCATGCACATGAACTTCAGAGAAGAACTTACCCTGCTCTGCCTTGACCAATGCCAGCCCTGGGGTTGTGTCCCCTCTGCCTCTGCTTGGGCAGAACAGGCCTCCGAGGGGGCTTTGAAGAGCCCTAATTCCCTGTGAGTCAAATTTCTCCTTGTGGTTCTGTGGCCTGGGGCTGCTGGAGGGGCTGCTCTGACTGGTCGGAAGAGGAGCAAACACCTGGTGGAAGGAAAAATTATTCTTTAAAGTCATTCAAGGTGTAGTAGTTGCCACCACTTCTCTGGAAAAGTGTTGTCAATTATAATTTTCTAATCTGAAAAATCTGTCGAAATATGCCAAAGGCAGAAAACCATAAGAGGTTTTTTGATTTTTTTTTTGTCAAAAGTTCTCATTGAAACATTAACCTTCTAAAATGTTAAGATTGAAATAGAATTTTGGAAATCTGACTAAAGCCATTTCTTCTGTGTGTGTGTGTGTGTGTGTGTGTGTGTGTGTGTGTGTGTGTGTGTGTGTCTGTCTGTAAGAGGAGTCACAACAACACGGAGAGAGTGCTTTTTAAGATAGAACATAGGATGGGCACACTATTATCTGTGGATAAATTATTCTATAAAATCAGAAGACTTTGGCTTTCAGTGGAGAGAAAATAAAACCAGATTCCAGTGGGATCAGCTGAGATGAAGGGAAGGAAAGTGGCAGGAGGAAATCTAAGCAGTTTGCAAATGAAGGTCATAAAGTTTATAAACGGGATTTCATAGCCTGTTTGTGATAGCAGAAGCTGGACTCTGTGATACACAATTTCTCCTCTTGCCATGTTTTTTGTGCTGGTTATAAGCAGCCTGCTGACCTGCTGGACTTGGGCACACTCCTGAATGTTTATTAATGTGTAAGCCAGGGCTTTTATTGCATTTTAATTCCCCCTTGAGATGGGTGACCTCAGTGTTTTCTGTGACCAAGGCTTCCATCTCAGTTTTTCCAGATTATTCTCACTGTGGTGAAAACCCTGCAGTGACTGTATCACCCATTTATGGTGTTTGGCCACATGCAGCAGAAATCCAGTGGTTAACTTTGCAGAATTACCACATTGCTGGTGATGGCTGCTGCTGCATCACATCAACCCCAGGCAGCCATCCCATCCCATGCTCAGTTCAGTGCTTCCCATGCTTACCAGGCCAAAGGGATTCACTGCTTGCACGCAGGGACCAAGTCTTGCAAAAAGCAGCAGAATGTGCAGACATGGACCACGGGCTTGCTGCCTGGGATGGAGCTAGGAAAGTGTTGTGGTGAACAACTTTCATCCAGCACCTGCTCATGGGTGCTGGAGGCTGCAAGGTGGATGTGGCTTCTGTCCCCTCTGCAGCTGGTAAAATTCTAAAGAATTGAACTGAACCTAATTTCAGGTGAAATCCAGGACAAACATCCATGCAACAAAATGTGATGCTAACAGAGGAAATTGTTCTGATAGTAAAAGGAGGGGGGGAAAGAAAAATAAGAAAAAGCATCAAAGTAGACAGAAGTACAGGTTTGAAAACAAAAGTAATGGCAGTTAAAATATGTGGTAGATATTTTATTTTCAATCTGAAGACATACTAAGAAAAGTTTTGATTAACAGTAATTTATTTTTAAAAATCTCAGCATTTAAAAAAGGTCAAGTAGTACACTTCGGGTGCTTGGAGCCACTACTTGCATACATAGATGCAGGTTTTACTGTGGTGCTAGCCCAGAAGTGACTGCTTCTGCTTTATTTGGTTACATCAGTGTATTTCAGCTCAGACAGTAGCTGTTTCAAAGATGAGAAAACATTTCAATAACGAAAAAGCATTTTCATTTTCATCTTTTGTCAATGAATTAAAAACAAGGATTAGGTATAAAAATGGTTACAGAGTGCTCTGTGAGGAAAACAGTCACTGACTTAAATAAGCAATGCTTTAGTTTAGATGGAAAAATACACATGGTAACTGTTTTCCCCTTACAGTTATGACTTCAAGTATGTATTATTTTATTGATGCTGTTTGTAATTTTTATCTGAGTGCCAGATTTCTCCCAGAGAATACTTGAAATGTATAAAGCTACATAGAAAAGCAAAGATCAAAGTTTCAGGAGATGAGGTTATAATTATCATGTTTTCCTGCTGAACTAATCAGTTTTAAATTAACTGAACCCAGCGCGGAATTCTTCCCCAGAGCCTGAGAGGGCTCTTATGCCTTGGGGAGGAGCTTCACTCTGAATCCTCTCCCAGCTGCTTGTTTCCAGTACCTCCATGCCTTCTTCCATATGGTTTCAGCTTCTGGCTCCTGGAGTGGCCCACTGCTGGGCAGAGATTGTCTGGCGGGCTGGGAAGGGGAGCTGGTGGTGGAATATTCTGGCTCTGGGCACAGAGGGGTTTGTTTGGCCAGTTAGTTCTGCATCTGACCACAGTCAGCAAAGGGAAGACATCCCTTACATCCCTCGTGTGGGTAGAAGAGCCAGCCACAGCTTTCAACCAGGTAGCATCAATAACTGCAGTGATGTGGCAAGAGATGCTTCAGTGCAAGCAAGCTAACAGTGACTGAAGGTGTTTGGCTTGACAGATGAGTGCTCACCCACTGTGTGTGTTCTCCCATGTCACGCTTGTTGGGCTTGGGCAGCTCTGGGTATCCCTGACTGTGCTGCCCATCCCCTTCATTCACTGGGTAGACCAGAAATCTATGTGGTGCAGTTCTGGAGAATATGAAGTAGCTTTTTGCTACTTTTGCACACTCATTTCTGAATTACCTTGACAATAAACATAAGTGAAATTGAAACCGCTTTCTGGATCACCTGCTTCAAGGCACTGTCCTGACGGCTTTCAAAAAAAATAAGCTTCTTCTCTGAAAATAAAAAGTCCTCACTGAAATAGCAAGTAACGGGAAAAGAGTAGCCAGGCATCATTAGAACTGATGAGTGACATAATTTCAGAAATTATGTCTGTGTACACACAGACAGATACATAGTAGGAAAGAGAAAACTATAAAAAAAATCTGTTTCCAGATACTTTGCAAACAATATGTTTCCTTAAATCACTGGATGAAATTTGCTATACATCTTAAGTTGCTATGGCATCTGAGCCTGTCCAGTAAAGCTTGACATATTTATCTCAGGCTGAGAAACCACACAGCAAATTGAAAATCCCCTTTGTGTCATTTCCTGTGAGATAAGTCTGCAGAACCAACTCACGCATGCAGCCTGTCTGCGTACAGACACCCTGACACAGCTCACCAAGTAAAGTGACACCTGTCTGACATAATGTTTGGAGAGTGACGAACATTGCATGGGACACTCTGGTGCTTTTATAATTGAGAGCGGACCAGAATGCTGAGAGAAGACTGGACAGTGTCCTCAGAGAGAAGACAGCTAATCTGGTCCCTGCTGTGCACTAGGCAAAGAATTTAGATGATTGCATCTTCTTCCTTAATGCTTTTGTTTTGTTGTTGCTGATTTTTCCCTCCCTGAAGCTGATGCCTGTTCAACACAGCTGGGAAGACAGGATCATCAGGTTTAAAGGAACATAAAAGCCTGCTAAAATGGCACTGGCCAGTTCAATTTCTAGCAAAGAACCACCACCACACTCCAGAAAAGTTTCTGCAGCAGGGGTGGAAGTGCACCAGAGCAAGATGGATTTCTTCTGCAAGTTGGGCTATGGTAAGCAGGACATCTGCAAAGTGCTGGAGAACCTGGGCCAAGAGGCCCTGGAGGATGATGTGCTGAAAGAGCTGATTCGGTTGGGGAGCAAACCTCAGGCTCTGGAGAACCAGGCTCAGCCTTCCCAGCTAAAGCTGGTTGCCCGTGGATCGTGTAGCACCACCCCGGGGCTGAAGTGGCTGGGAGAAGAGGAAAGTGATTCTTCCGACTCCTTGAGGCCCATTGTGATCGATGGCAGCAACGTTGCAATGAGGTAAGCTCCGTTTCTTGAAGGCTTCTCTCTTCCTCTGAAGCTTTTGACTTTTAAAACTGATGGCTTGAAGTGAGTTTTTCCTTCAGGTGAGAGGGGCATTGATGCATTTGATGTATGAATAATTGCTTATTCCTGTTCTTTGGCTTTTGCTGTCGTGGTGCCCATGAATATGCACATCACATGCAATTATTGGCTCACTCTGCATTCTGCCCCTCTATAAGGCAACCTCTGTCCACTGTTTATGGCAGTGTCTCTCCCTTGGAGCTCACCAGTAAACTACCCCCCATTTCCAAATAGGCACCTAAGATTTCCAAACCTGAGATGTTTCCAGGGAAAATCTGGTGAACAGATAGACAGACCACCCAACCAATCTAAGGAGAGGGGAAATAGTCAGTCGGGTGACTGTGGTTTCTAACAATACCACCGTTTTACTGCTTTGTCGTGCAAGTAAACTCGAAAAGTAAATGAAAGTCAAAAATCAACAAAAATTATGCAAGCTAGGAACATTTCCTGGTTTATATAATTTTAGTTGGTTTTCTATTTGGCTTCCATTTTAGGTAAATATCAGGGAATTGATTGTTGACTTGTATTGAATAGATTCATTTCCTCCTTAGTCATTCTGTTTCTGGGAAATGTCGCATCAACCCGTGCTGGCCAATTACATTTCCTGAGCAATGCCCTGGCACTGTGAAAACGCTCTTACAGATGGGGAGCCTGGCCCATCCCTGTGGATGGGATGTCCAAGATGGCAGTGAGTTGGCCTCTGTTTATCCAAGCAGTACGGAGCCAAGAGTCCAGGATTCACTGGCTATCCATCTGTTTTCTCCAGTAACTTCCCTGTCCATTCAGCAGGGCCAAGCTCATCCCTGCAGGCTGAGGGGGGCAAAGGAAGGCTTCCTCCTTGTGTTAGCCATCCTTTGAGATGAGATGAGACCATATCCCCTCTGGCTGGAGAGAAAAGTGGCCAAGCACATCCAGAGCAACCGGAGACCAAGCAAATTATGCCATCTTGTGGGTGAAGGGAGAAATCCCAGAAAAAACCAAGTTGTTCCCTGCTCACGGCAGCTCACTAGGAGTGGGAAATACACAACAGGGCAAAATTGTTTGGCCTTGTCTGGGCCATGAGCTTGGTAGCCAGGTGTTAGGATCTCCTGCCCTGCTTTGCCTCTTCACCCAAGCCCCTCCTCAGGGTGTCTTTCTTGTCTCTGCAAAAGAACTGAGCACCCACTCGGGCAGTGTGGCTGAGCTGATCGCCCACCCTGCATTGTGCCGGGGTCAGTGTTACCCATGGTGGGCCATGGGCTCTGTTCTCAGCTCTCCAGGCACAGCAGATTTAAGTTTCAGAAAGGCAAAGGTTTTACAGCTCTTTTCAGACATCTCGACCTCTGTCTTGGTAATGAGCCTGTGGATGGTGGAGGAGACCATTGATCTTGTCATTTCAGTAGGTACTGAAAGGGCACAGCTGCTTTCCTCTCCTGGATGCCTTTCTAAGTGGTGCTGAATGGCATTTGCTTTGGCTAATGGGGTAGGCCTGGTCAGTGCTTTCAGTATCCTTATTTAATTTTTCTTGTTTGTGACTGTCTGAGTGAGATTGGCTTTATTATGCAGAAAGGTCAAAGTACAAGGATGAGCATTCTGTAGATATTGTGAAGGCATTTATCCACTTAGGACTTTGGGTGCAGTTTATTTGGTTTCCCTGTGCAGGGGTAGTTAACAAACTACCTTCCTTGACACATACACTGCACTGTAGTCAAAGTTTAGATAAGTGAATGCCAAGCAGCAGGAACTTTGAGGGAAGGTGGAACATTTAGAAGGATTGTTTTCCTTGAGGTTATTTTCTGTCTTATGCTGCATATTGAATTCTTCAGAATCCCCCTTGCTGGCACTTCTAGAACACTTGTCTTGGGGCTTTGTACCTCTGTGCAATGAAGAAAATATCCATCAACTAGAGCAGGATAAAATTGGGCCTGAGGCACCTGTGGCCATCTCCATCATGTCTTGTCCCTTTTTTGGTTCTCTGTTATTTCCTATCCTGCCTCTTACAGTTTTTCTTCCCCTATACTTTGTCTCATGTTTCCAAAAAAGATCACCAGTGGAGTGCACTGTGATCACACCTGCAGCCACTTCAGCCATTAAAATCTCTAATGGCCCTGTTACCACAGAAGAAAATTCCCACATTTTGTTTCTCACAGGAGCCTCATGGGTTTCTGCTTGTGCAGAAAGAAACTCTCACCCCTCAAACGTTTTTCAGACAAGGCACATGAAGGGTTTGACAAGGCCTAACATCTTCTTGGTACTTTAGAACTTAAGTCCATCCAGATACAGATGGAAGGATTAGGCTTGGGTCACATAAATGGGGGACAGGATACCTTTGTTTTTAAGTATCCAAACTGTTTCAGATAAATCTTTGGCCTGCTGGAGGAGGTGTTTGGGTCTGTCCGATCAGGACACCCTGCTGGTTGTTTTCTTGGAAACTGGTGAATGACACAAAAGCTGTTTATTTTGCCTTTTGATTACTGGCTCAGTTAAAGAGAGCTCTGAGCTTCATGAAAGCTTTGCCTCATCATCCTCTCTCTTTCTTTATAGTCATGGAAACAAGGAGGTGTTCTCCTGCTGGGGGATCCAGCTGGCAGTGGATTGGTTTCGAGAGAGGGGGCACACTTACATCAAGGTTTTTGTCCCACTCTGGAGAAAGGAACCCCCTCGACAAGACAGCCCCATTGCAGGTAGGTCACCATCCTGGCTGTAATTTGGCAGCCATTAGGTGCAGTTTGGAGACATAGGGGGTGTGAAGAACCCAGTACAGGTTTTTTTCCTGTAAAGACAAGCACAGTGCAAGTTGTGTATCACGCTTCCCTCACTTAAATGAGTCATTAATTCATTGCCCCATTCAGTGCTCCTGGCTAGCAGCTAAAACTGCTTACAAGGCTTTGTTACACTGCTTTAAACCTTCTGCTCAACAAGCACAAGGTGCTGCCAAGCTGAGTTAAAGGATTTTGTCAGCTTGCAATGAGTCTGTGGAGCCTTTGAGGACTGCCAGGAGACAGTGATGTTCATTACTGCATGACTATTTTCTGTCAGCCTGCTGCCCAACACAGAGGGTGCATGGGTTCCCCTTCCAGGAGAAGAAAATGCATCAGCAGAAGTCTGTGGAGAGAAGTGAGACTCAGTTTGTCTGGAAATACTTTGTCTGGAAATCAGCCAGGTTTGTGCCAGAAGCTTGGTGTCTGCAGATGAGGTGGATCTGTCTACCTGCAGAGAAGGAATGGCAAGAGGTCAGAGTGTCCTCAACAGCAGCAAAAGAAGTTTATTTATGGATTTTATCACACACGTTTTATCTCCATGCAAAGCTTACATCAGGGCTGGTTGTGAGCCTTCTGGCATCTAGCAGGGCAAAAAGGGCACTGCAGGGATTTAGTATCAGACTCTGGTGTAGAATTCAAGGCATTCTTTTACAGATAAGACTTAAAAATCAAAAAAGGGTAATGGGTTTTTTTAGTAAAAAAAAAAAAAAATTACTGGTTAGGTAAAACCTCTTTGTAAAAGACCTAATTTTCAAGTTGCCAAATAACCACCAAATATCACTGCATCTGAAAATTGCACCATGCCTTTCCTAAAGTGCTGAAATACCTTTAGATTCCTCTAGGTTTCTAGCAGACATTTGTGACATGGTTATAATTAATTAATTTGTGTCTCTTTTATTTTTGCTTCCCTCATCTGCCAATTCCCCCGCCAGATCAGCACATCCTTGAGGAGCTGGAAAAGCAATCCATCCTGGTCTACACACCCTCCCGGAAGGTGAAAGGCAAGCGGGTGGTTTGCTACGACGATCGCTACATAGTGAAAGTTGCTTATGAGAAAGACGGAGTCATTGTGTCCAATGACCACTACCGGGATCTCCAAAATGAAAACCCCGAGTGGAAATGGTTCATTGAGCAGCGACTACTCATGTACTCTTTTGTCAGCAACAGGTAAGAGATGACAGTGTTACAGAGCCTAGAATTTAAATGTTATGGGCCAAGTCACCTCCAGCATCAGAGTACCTCCCATCAGTTGCAGAACACGTGAGCCTTTTTATGAAAGGAATTTACTGCAGCTTTTCTTGTCTCGTTTCTTGATTGTCCTACTCCCTCAGCTTTGGTCTTAAAACCTTCCGTGCCACTCTTCTATGAACTTTACTACTTGAATGGCAGCATTAGTGACCAGCTTTGCTTCTTTCCAATCCAAGCTGTGATGTTGAACCGAGGGCTGGTATCTTTTAATTTCTATTTCCTGTAAGAAGCAGAATTAAATCCATGAGAGGAGGCTGGCTGGCAGTATTTTTAATTTCTCTACATGAGAAAATAGGACTTTTCCCTGTGTTTCTGCAGTTGTAGCTTGCTAAAAGAGACAAGAATCTGGTCTCTCTGGCCCTTCACCATCCCTGCTGAGAGAAGGTTTTCATTCTGGCACTTGCACCAAGCCTGTGAGGCTGAGCTGAGTGCTCCTCAGTGTGTTCATACTAACCTCTCTTCTCTCCTGAGTTTCCTAATAGCTGAGCTGTCCAGGGGAAATGCACTTCCCTGAGACATCCAGTGTGCACAGACATGTGCTTACATCCATGGCTTCTTTTACTTTTCCAGGTTTATGCCTCCCGATGATCCATTAGGCCGGCATGGACCCACCTTGACTAACTTCCTCAGCAAAAAGCCAGTGTTTCCTGAAAAAAAATGGCAGCCTTGTCCTTATGGTGGGTTTCTCCCCATGCTGTGAACTGCCCCCTGCTTCCCAGCAGTGCTCTCCCTCGGCTAGGGGCCGCTGCCATGTGCTGTCCTGCTCCGTGTGGCAGGCACTTGGCTTGGGGTTGCTCAAAGGTGTGATGCTTTTCCCCTTCTGCTTGAGTGGCTTCAGCCTCAGCAAAGGCAGCAGATGTTTTTTGGGCCCCTCCACCCTTGCCTGCACACAGCACCCACGGGCGCTGTGGCTGTGCTGGCTGTCCTGCCCACACACACTTCTCACTTGGTGGAGTGGATTTAGCTGCAGCACTAGGGAATGGCCATCCAAACACCTTCCTTCTCTCTCCTCCCACCAGCCCCCCTAGCAATGTGCAGGTTTCTCAGAGGTCAATCATTATGCCATTTTTTAAAGCAACCTTTTGTAGCAGCAAGTCTCCCAGCCCACCGAGTGCAGGAACTGAAACATGAATATCAGACACTTCCAAAATAGCGAAGACTTCCTTTCGCTGCTGCTTCACCCTGCTATTTATATCAGCAATATTTAAATCTGGAGTCAACAGTACTGAGTTTGAAAACAGTACTTCCTCTTTTCTGTGTTCACCCAGTGCTCGGGAGAAGCGATGTGTGCATTAATTGATGTCGGTGCTAGCGACAACTTCCTGTCTGATTTGTTTTTATCCTTTCAGGTAAAAAATGCACCTATGGCAATAAATGCAAATTTTACCACCCAGAGAAACAACGTCACGCTCAGCTTTCAGTTGCTGATGAGCTCAGGGCCAAAACAAAGGTCCCGTTTGCGCTGGGGAAAGAGGAGGAGAGGCGCCAGTGCTCCCCGTGCGATGCCTGCACAGGAACTCTGCGGGAAGCCAGAGGCTGCTCTGGGCCTTGCTGCTGCCCAGGCAGGGCCCCGGGGAGCTGCCCTGAGCACTCCTTCCGTGCCTGGGCCAGCAGTCCCGGCTCCGACCTGCGGCTGGACCAGCGCTTGCCGCAGCCGGAGCCGCTCCTGGAGAAGATGTCAGCGGTGTCCATCAGCGAGGACACCTACGGCTGCAGCTGGTCCCTGTGCGCCTCTGGGGACAGGGGGGTCACGGCCGGCCCTCAGCGCTGCTCTGGCCTCAGGCACGAACTGCTCTCGCTCCATCAGCGCCGGGGCTTGGAGCGCAGCGGCTGTCCCGGCTGTCCCTTCCCGCGGACGGGGCTCCCGCGGGCGCACGGCGGGACGTGCCCGCGGCACGGCTGGGCTCGGCAGCGCCCGGCTGTGCCCGGAACAGGCCGGGGGAGCCGCTCCTTCCCCGGCGGTGCTCAGCACGAACAGGCCCTGGAGACGCCGCAGCCCCTTCTGCTGCAGCCCACAGCCCCGTCCCCGGCCGGGGTCCCCCCGCACAGCGAGCCCCGGCTGCAGCGGCGGCAGCGCTGCTTCCCCGGCCCGGCCCCGGGGCAGCCCGCGCCCTCCGAGCCCAGCATCGGAACCGCCTTATTCCAGAAAGCCCACGCCTACCCCAGTGCCTCTTACAGGGACTACTGGCCCAGCCCTGCCCAGCAAATGAACATCCACAGGGAGCTGTGCTCCCCTTATCCTTACAGCGGGATGAGCCAGGTCATGACTTTGTACCCCAGGATCCAGGATAAGGGGACTGGAGCACCGCCCCTATGAAGACAGGCTCGGGAAGTTGGGGCTGTTCAGCCTGGAGACCTCATAGAAGTTGCATGGAGACCTCATAGAAACCTTCCAGTATCTGAAGAGAGCCTACAAGGAAGCCAGAGAGGGACACTTAATCAGGAACTATAATGATAGTACACAGGGGATTGGCTTCAAACTGAGACGGGGTAGATTTAGATTACATTTTAGGATGAAATTCTTAATTGTGTGGGTGGTGAGACACTAGAACAGGTTGCTCAGAGAAGTTGTGGATGCCCCATCCCTGGAAGTGTTTAAGGCCAGGTTGGGTGGGGCTCTGAGCAATCTGGTGTAGTAAAAGATGTCCCTGCCCATGCATGGCAGCAGGGGTTTTGGAACTGCATGATCTTTTGGGTTCCTCCTGACTCAAACCTGTGATTCTATGATATTGCCTGTTGGACTTTAATGATTCAAAGACACAGAAACCTGTGAAACCTCCAGAGCAAACCATTCCAAATAATCACAAGTCCCAGAGCCAAGAAGATGCTATTCTGAGGCTTAACTAAGTGTTTTTGCTATGGCGAGGATTACAGCTGCTCCAGGAATACAAGTACAAGCATCAAATCAAGGCAAAGGCTGTCATCCATGGCAGTGGGATTGCATTCCACCTCCCCTGAAAGAGAGCAGGAGGGCTCAGGGTTATTGGGCTGTTGGCATTTGAACCTCACTGGTGCCTGGACCAAGGATGGCACAATTTTCATTAACACCCTGAAACACTAGATGTGTTTTTAGAGTTCTAACCTATGGTTCAGCTTCTGTAAAACAACCGTGCTCCCCAGTCCCCAGTGAAGGGCTCTCCCATGGCCTGTCACTGTCATTTGGCCTCTTCCCCTAGCACAGGGCCTTGTTCTCTGCTAGAAGGCAGTTTTGGATTCCTGTCATTGCCTGATTCAAGCCCAATCCACTGTCAGTGAGCTTTCAGAGCTACATCTCCTGCTTCTAAAGCAATGCTGGGAGCACACAGAACCCCTAGCAGAGGGGCTGGAGGTGCACCAGAGCACCTGAAGGAGGACACAGGTACATTTCTCAGAAAAGAGATGCACACAGCATAAATAAAATCAGGGAAGTAATCTTCAGTGTAAGTCCTGGTGTGGACTAAGGGGTCAGGGCTGGTAATTAAAAAAAATCCAGAACTCCAGATTGAAAAGAGGAAAAAGAGGGGGGAAAAAAAAGCTCAAAAGTGTCTCCTGTATGGAACAAGAAATCTATTGTTGACTTACCTCTTAATTACCAAATGTGGCCCCATAATGCAATTATACAGTAAACTATGTTCTGTTAGGACATGTTTGATTTTCGGTAAGCTGTAAAGCTGCTAATCTTTGCATTATTCCACCAAATGCTTCAGGTTATAATTCAAATAGTAACGTTGATCCTGAAGGGTTTTTTTGGCATTATACCAAAGTTTAAGTATGTCAGTATGACATGTTTTAAAAATGTTTTAAGATATTATAAAATGTTTATCTATAACACTTTGTTCTCAATAATGTCTTCTTTATTTTCTGGATTTTACTTAGGTGGTGGGATTTTTGTTGTTATTTTGTATAGTTTTTGGTTTCGATTGTTTTTTTCCTGTAGTCCTCTTAGAACAGATGCTTCAACATTCAGGTGGGATTTTCAAGCTCTTTGACCCTGCAGTATCTCATTTCTCTGAAGTGCAATGTTGTTAGTTCCAGGAAGGAATTAAGCATGGTCCTCAATGAGAAATTGGAATTCTGTTGCTTGCACAAGGTGGCAGTAATTTACCCTTAGTGACATTATCGCATGATGAATTTTTTGAAAGTGGTGACAGTTGGACCTGTTTCCCTCTGGAAACCACCACCATTTTTTTTCCTTTTTTTGGTGATGGTGTTCGAAGAATCTGCAGAAACAAAGTATACTGTATCTGTTCAGTTTCTTATGCCCCTGTGGTTGGCTCCAAAAAACAGCAATTTGGATTTTGGAGATATGACTTACGCTCACAGAACACGACAGTTTTTTTCCATAAGTCCTATGGATTGCTGGAATGGCTTATAAATTTATCCACAACATATTACATAAGGATTAGAAGTTGTCTTACAACAAAACTATGGAAAAAAATTCTCTGTGATATGCCTCAAAAAATACTGGAGACGAAGTGTGATGCTGAGTGGAAAAATACCTTCCACTCACTCAAACAAAGTGAGTCCCAAATGGCAGCAGCCAGAAAACACACACACAGCAATGGAGCAGGATGTAACTGTACATGCCAACATTAATTTTCATGTCTGGCATGCAGGTTACATGTTTCAATACACAAAGCATTTAAAAATCCATAGGAAAATTGGCACACTGCCTTTATATGGTGTCCTCGGCTTGCTGGAGATGTGCATGAACTTTTCTCCCTTTCCTTTGAGGATGCACAGGAATTTGGTGGTTGTTCAAAACTCTCTCAATGTTTTTAACTTTTTTTTTCCCTTTTAATTTCTGTCATATTTACTGAGGAATCTTTTTGTAAAATACATAGAATGTGCACTCTGCTGAGAGTGTCTGAGAAAATAAATCAGACTTTGGTGCTAAACAGAACTTGATTTCTCTTGGCTCTTGTGCTCACCAGAGGGTTTTTTCTCATGGGGATTTTGTTGGAAGGGCAGCTCAGCAGCGCTGTGTCACTGCCTGAGAAGAACTCTGCTGCTGGCCAGGAGACCACAGAAAGCAGGGAGTGTTTCCCTGTTCCACACAGCCCAGGCACATGGGGCTCAGGGGCTCCTGCTGCAGGGCCTTTTGCCCTTCCAAAGCAGGGATTTCTATTTGCCTTAGTCAGCCCCTGGAGCAAGGGAAAGGGCTGTGAGCACAAAGGAGGCGGCAGCTTTTGGACAGAGGGGTAAGAGGCTGTTGCTATTTGGTATCTCTGCTGAGATGCATTTGAGGCCAGTTCTCGCTGCCAAGTTGCAAATGAACCCATAAATCTTAACAGGCTCAGAAAGCCCTTGATGTTCTTTGCTTTTTGGTTGTCAAGACTCTTTTAGAAGAAGCTGGAAGCACTGAGAGCAATCTTCCAGGAGATGGGCTGCTTTCCCAAGGGAGATTTACAGAGTTGCCAAGTTCATTAAAAAAAAAAAAAAAAAAAAGGAAAAAAAGAGTCAGGGAAAAAAAAAAATCCTCTTTCTTTCTCTATACTCTGCCCTTTCCAAAAAGGCAGAAAGCCAGAGACACCCTCCCTTGCAAGGGGCTAGGGAAACTAAACACAAATATTTCACTGAGAAGCTTTGGGTCAGCCCTGCAATAGCTCCTCAGTGTAAGAAGGGGGAAGGAGGGTGCTCTTTGCAGTCCTGGGCACCTCAACACACCTCCCACCACATCTTCTAAAACACAGCAATCTCTCCTTTGCAGAACATGGATGACAGACCTACTAATGTGGTGTGCTGAGGTACCATAAGAATTAATGCCATAAAACAGTCTATAGAGTAGATAATCTTGCTGCGTATATCAAACACTTGTATTTGCCAATTATTCTGAGAAGTTTTGATAATATTTTAACTCGGTTCCCACAGGAGCTGGCACAATTTATGAGCAAATATTTGAACTAATCACAAAAACTAAGTAGAACACGACTTCTCTCTGCCTTAAAAAATGTTGGGAAGAACAAGTCCTGTACTTCACCAAGTGTGACAGACCTTTGCACTCCCTCATGTATACACACGACTGCTGTAGGATCTATCTCCCATGCACTGGTGGGACTGGATGCTTTGAACTCTTGAGAAGAGTTTAATATTACAGCACCACTACCATTATTTAAAAAGTGCTATGACTTGCTATTGATAACAATGGGATTTTTATAGTATTTTAGCCACATCCCTTCTCCACCCCCAGCTGGGCTCACTGCCTTGAAGTGTTGCAGCAGGCTCAAAGGAACTCCTTAGTGAGATGTGCTGACTTTGCAAATGCAGCCCAAGCAGACGTGCATGTGGAGCAGAGCAGTGAGTGCACACAGCCATGCGTGGGGACAGCACATGGGAGGCAGTGAGCCAGAGAGCCAGGACAGCCGCTGCAGGGCTTTGAGTGCAGGAAATGGGATGATGTGCATCAGGGTGGCACCAGGATTGCTCACCCTAACCACACTGCCAGCTCCTCCCCTTTCCCTGAGTCAAACTGATTCCTCACCTTCCCTTTCTTCTTCCATCCTTGTTGGGCTCAGGATTTCCATTGCACCTACAATTCCCTAGTTTTGGCATTGAAGGGAATTACTAACACTGCTGGTTCCACACAGAAGACAAATGGGCATCAGCAAACTTTTTGGCAGAATTAAACTAGGAGCAGGCAACAAAATATGGATGGCATAAAAAAAAAAGCCACATTGGACAACAAGTAGATTTTCTCAAGTAAACAACAAAAATAAATTAAATACAATTAATGAACAGTAGAGTTTGAAGGAGCAAGCAATGTCACACATGGTAGGATGAACCTTGGAAAGGAACTGCTGTGCAAAGTAAGACTGTAAAAGGTGTCTGCCACCCATCTGCACATTTGCAAGACTGAGCAAAGTAGGCCCAGCTCTCCTGTGGCTCTTGGCTTGCTGAATTTAGAATCTGTAATTTAATATCTGCAGAGACTCTAAACAACTGAGAAAACTGCTAAATAAGAAGCAGATCAGCTGTAGTAACCAAATGAGCTACAACACTGAACACAAAGTCAAGACAAAGATAACTTCACTGTCTGGTGATTCAGTTTCCAGATTAGACTTCATTTTACTACAGGAATTAAAGTCCTCCTGGCATGATCAGGAGAAGAGCTGTGCAGAGACCAGAACTGTCTACAAGGACTAAAGAACAACCAAGGCTTGCCAAGGGGGGCAGCAGGAGAAGCCCAGAGGAATGTGATGGCTTTTACCACTTGAACTGGTAAGCAACAAAATCCACTTCATTAAATAATACCCCATTCGCCAGGTCAGGGAAATCTAAATCCTAAGAACTGCCATGATGCCCTGGCAAAGGTTACAGTCCACCCCTTGCCACTCCAAA